CACTCACATCACATGGTAGTTGGTGCAGTTGATGCCAGCTGTGAGCTCAACCAGCATTTCTGCGGTGAAACTGGGGAGGATAGGGATGAGCTTCACGGTGAACCACACTACCCAGTCATGAGCTTCAAATGCATGGAATTTTGATTCAATGATTACGAAGATTCGGTTCATCATCAAGTCGCTCACAGCAGGGGTGATATCGGGAATCTGCAGGGACACAACAACAAGAGTGTGAATGGCACTTTATCAAAGCATCGCCCTTCGCGCTACTCTCCGTGGCTTCTACGCAGCCTCTGTCAGACACTTTGACTCATTGACTTGCCTCAGAAGTTGTGGTCAGTGCCGTCAGAAACTCTTCCACGTTCTTGAAAGCGTCGCCTTCCTCCAAGCGGTCGAACACAGCGTTGATCTGACTGGTGTTGTTCAGAGCTCCAGAGCTCAGTGCGAGTTCAGCTACTTGGGTAGGGCTCAGCAGTGCCAGCGATTCAAACTGAAGCACAACATGGACAGCAGAGGTTATATCATAGGTGAGGCCGTTTACTTCAAACAAGGGGGGAAAAAAACTCATTCCGAAAATAAATGACAGTTCACTTGGCCCACTGGAGCAAGTCAAGTGTTACTCACGCTGGAGAAATTTTCATTCAGAGTTCGCAAATCCTCCAAGGTAGCGTAGACGTATAAGTTGCCAAAGTTCTTCTCGAGCCAGTCAGCGCTGCTCACGGTTTTGGACAGACAGGCAGGATCTGGATGGAACATAGGGGGAATTAAACCGAACACCAGTGAATGACAAGCCGAGAGGCTGAAGGATGCTCAAGCAACTACATCATGACAGATGACAACTCAAAACAGTGACAGGATTTAATGTACCTCTTAGGTCATCTCTGGAGAGGAAGGGACGGACGAAGTCGGTCAAGACGAGCCGTTTTTGCCCCACGTCCATGAGGGACGCTTGAGGACTGAGAGCCTGCACCCTAAATCGTGGAAGATTGGGGACCATTACGGATTGCCTGACTTCACTCCCATAAACACCACTTCAGGATTACCCACACCACCGAGGATACTTACACGACTTGGTAAGTGTCACAAGTGAAGTTCTTGGAGCTGAGGCAGGACAGGAAGTCCCTGGACGCTGTCGGCAAGAATGGTCTCAGCCTTCCCTGGAACCAGCTGCCAATGAAGCTGGCATCTGTCAGCTGTGCAGCGCTGAAGCTGTTGACTTTCACCTCTCCGATAGCATCGAGAACACGGGACTCAGGCTGACCGTCACTGAGGTTCTGTGAAAGACATGTCAAACATGTCAAAACTGAACTCAGAGACAGCACGTCATCTCCATTTCTGGAAAGCAAGGGTGTCGATGGAATACTTGGAATACTCTGACAGAGCATCCTCCAGAACTCCTGCGACTTTCTGGAAGAAAAGCTTCCACGTCTCTGCGCTGCTGATGGTGCCGCTCTGCGCCTCGCAAGTCAGCAGCGTGACGAGGTTGCCAGAGGACAGAGATGATGCAACCTTGAAAGAAGTGGAGAGATTTGTGCAGTCTGAGAATCAGGACTCTTTGCAAAGACAGGCATTCGGGGACATGGTTCATGGAAGACTTACCGAAGAGCAGGCATATTGCGAGATGCCAAAGTCGCACAGCCGATCCGAGGAAGGAGGCTGACTCCCAAGTGGGCCACTGCAAGGCACAAAAGCACGTTATCCATTTTCACCACATTGAAGCCTATCTCTGTTCTCAGCAGACGCCAAACCTATACTCACCCGTTGACGCCCTCACACAGCCTCTCTTCTGCAAATGGAAAACAAAAAGATGAGCTGAAGAACTTACTAGCTATCTTATGATTTCATTACACGTCAACAAAATTCTATCGACTAGCATCATGTGTTCTGACTCACCATTTACTAATGTTGGTTTGCACTGGTGAGAGGGAAGACAAAGTAAGAAAAGATAAGAAAACCATTGGTAACAGCTTTTCTTGGGCTTAAACTTTACTCATAACCCCTGTACA